TGGCACACCTCACTTGCTCACTCACTGTCTTGCCACTTCCTCTTGCCAACACCAGACTGGACATTATGGCACCCCGCTAGGCATCTGGAAACACTATGGCCACTCATACTAGCAACCCACATAGCCAATGCCGCAGTGAGCGAAACCAGATGGAACCCGCTGGCCACTCCTGCGGCCACCCCGCTGGCCCGCCACTGAGGCCACCCAACTGAGCCACACGCCACTGGCCACTTCCTTACTAAGCCACCCACTTAGGCCACTTCTTATGGCGCAGCCCGGCTAGACCACCAAAACTGCTGAATGACCACCCATTCTAGGCAAAACCCACTTGGCCACTTTAATTTTGGATCATCTCTACTGGCCCCTCCACTATGCCACTCAGCACTGCCACCCGATGCATCCAGCCGCTGGATCAACCACTGCCACCCTCTAGGCCACCCACTGAGCCATCGACTCATGACTGCCACAATCCCATTATTATTCAACAGGCAGTTTTACCACATTAGTAGATTCAACCCTGAAATTATGGCTTTTAGTTTCAGTGGCCATCCCTAGATTTTTAGTGGCTCCATCTTGACCCCCCCCCCAAATAGACTTTTATAACCACACAGTAACATTAAGTCTTGTTCCAGCCTCTTTTTATACTTTACACCTTCGTTTTTCTTGATCTTTCCGTTCACTGTCTTCCTCTTCCCTCTGTGAAACACAGCAGTGACGTTTGGAAAGTGATTTTTAAGTTGAGCTCACTCGTCTAGCGGATCATTTTCTGGAGTTTTAAATAATCTATAGGGTCACTTCATAGAGAACAATAAAAGAAAATGGGAAGTGAGAGAAAAGGCAGGGAGGATTTGTGAAAGGTGTGCTGATGACTCATAGCTGCTAGCTGACAGTCTCACCTGTTCTCTGGAGCCTCTGCAGTAAAGCATGAAGGCTCCGACAGGAGTCTGACGCCACAAACGCTCATCTGGTCGTTCTGGTTAACTAACGCCTAATTAGTCCTCTCTAAATCTATTAAGAGTCATTTATTATAAAGTAGTGTGAGGTCGGCTTAGAAGCAAACAACAAACACTGTTGCTATTTTAAATGATATAAATGATATCATCCATTCTGAGGCAAAAACTGCTCAACATTTGCTTTTTTTTGCAGTTTATTAATTTTTTAATTCTATTCAGTGTATTTCTATAGCCCCAATTCACATCATGTCATCTCAGGTCACTTTCCAGTTCACCAGATCATCCAGTCAGATTGATTCAAAGTTTTCTATCTAAGGAAAACCAGCTGATTGCATCGACTCATTGACTCTTCAGCAATCCCTCACACTAAGCATGCTTGTAGCGACAGTGGAGAGGAAAAACTCCCTTTGAACAGGAAGAAACCTCCAGCAGAACCAGGCTCAGTGTGAGCGGCCATCTGCTGAGGCCCACTGGGGTTCAAGGAGGCAGAAGCAGACATAGAAAAAGAAGCATAGATACAAAAGGCAACTGTCAACCAGCTCCACAGGCGGCCCCGTCCAGGAAACACAGCCTGGCTGTGTTTAGGTATAAATAATGATCCATTGATTATTCCTTGCTGACTGGACTTTTCCTTTAAAATAAATTATAGATATTAAAATGATAACATTCAGCCTCTTCAATCGATCTTTTGAACTTTAGTAGCAGCTCCACCTGCAGGCGTTTCAGCAGGACTTTAGCAGATCTGCAAATCTAGAGAGAAACATTTTGGTCTCTTTTTAATTTCCAAATACTTCACGTTCAGACATGTTGTTTTGAAATCATCAAATTTAAAGTATAAACTGATTTTAGTTCTGTATTTTGACCAGACCACCTGACAGCTTTGCTAGGGCCCGGGACAACACAGTCTTTTTTATAATATATACATATATAGTTACTTTAACATTGAGTATTTTCATCACAAATATTTTCTGAAACTTAAGTTCTGCCTGTATTTTTAATGGTCAGAGTGTCAATTTTGGGCCCCTTTCTGTCCTGGGTCTGAGACAATTGACCCCTTTGTCCCCCCCTGTGGGCGGGCGTGACTTTGACTAGACCAAGAACAAACATAAACGATGTCTTTCTCAAACTGGATGCAGCTTCTCTCTGCAAAACGAAGGGAAACTTTGCAGCAACCAGGTTTCTTAGAACAGAAAAAGAAAACATAGAATGTGTTTCTGCTACTGTGTGTCCTTCAGCTTTCATACCGCAGCTGTAAATGAAAAGAAAATGAAGTCTCTGCTCCGGCACCAATTTAAACTAAGGCTTATGATGAAGTAGGGCTAATGTAATCCACAGCAGCTAGCTGTGAGTCATACAGATCTAATTGGAAGGAGCGTTTCGTCCTCCCGTTCTGTCTTTTTACTATGAAGCAGTGAAGATGCACCCTGGCTGCACTTTGAACGTCAGTCTACCTCACTGCAGGCTGAATGTGACTGGAATAGCAATGACCTTTTGAAGCGATGCTGGATGGTGTAAAGAAAAGGCCTCTGAGGGCTCAGGAGAGTCAGATGGCGAGGCGGTGTTTACGGCCGTCTGCAGCCGGTGAAGCGGCGCTGCTCAATCAATCAGTCCACAAACAGGAAGACATCATTTCCTGAAATCCTTCCTTCTGGTCTTTTGTCGTGATTCTGTTAGCAGCAAATATCGACTGTTTTACCAAAAGGTAGACGGTGATGCTTTGAAATGCTTTACGTTTAAAGTTAGAAAGCAAAAACAAAGAATGGCATCAATCAAAAAATAATAATTTAGCTGTTTATAACTAAAGGTTGTTGAAACTGAACCTTTTTATTAAACAAATGCTAATTTTTTATTTAATTTCAGTAAATAAAAGGAAGTAAAGTGTTGAAAAAAACAACGTGGCATCATTTCTCCTTTAACATTTTTTAATTTAGAAAAAACTGATAAAACTATTTCTGATCAGTTTGAATCCTTTTAGTTTAGATAACAGGTTGTTCGATTGACCTCCCTTATCAAGGGGGGGGGGGGGGGTCCAGTCAGATTGATTCAAAGTTTTTTATCTAAGGAAAACCAGCTGATTGCATCGACTCATTGACTCTTCAGCAATCCCTCACACTAAGCATGCTTGTAGCGACAGTGGAGAGGAAAAACTCCCTTTGAACAGGAAGAAACCTCCAGCAGAACCAGGCTCAGTGTGAGCGGCCATCTGCTGAGGCCCACTGCGGTTCAAGGAGACAGAAGCAGACATAGAAAAAGAAGCATAGATACAAAAGGCAACTGTCAACCAGCTCCACAGGCGGCCCCGTCCAGGAAACACACAGCCAGGCAGACGAGCTCCGAGCCAGCTCCCATGTCAGAGGATGAAGAGAGCACATCCAGTAAGTCACAGTCAGAGAAACAGGACTACACTGGAAAACAGGCCAAGCTCCAACATCTAGAAACAAAGGTGTTGATGGCAGCAGCACAGCTGATATTTCTCTCCAGGATGGAGTCACAGCCAAACAGGAACAGACCAGATGAAGCTACTATGAGAAAAAGCAGAGAGAGCAGAACGTTAGAGATTGAACTAACAGATTCTGCAGAGTGGGAGAATAGAGATAGAATGAAGCAGAATGATGAAAAAGGGGTCCCTATGTCCTCCAGCAGTCTAAGCCTATAGCAGCAGAACTATAGAGATAAGAAGCCTCTAATCTATGAACAGAGAACAATGACTGATGCCAGATTCATAAAAGCCTTCAAAAAATGTTAATTGTTCATCAATAATTAAGTCTCCAAGCGTCTCATTATTTCTGTTTAGTTTCGTGTCGTACATAATGAAGGCAGAATGCCACAGAGTGTTTGTGGTTATCCTTACCAATGACTGTAACTCATAACTATTTAAAAAAGGCCTTTGAAGTGGATCTGCAGGCACTGAGCTCCTGCAGCTTTATCGGCCTCGCTACTTGGAATTAAACAGTTCTGGTGGTCGGCCCTGTGTGGACATGTGCTCCGTGTGTGTAGAAGTGTGATGGATGGCTAACCGAGCCTTGCCAGCTACTGACAAGCCGAGCAGCAATTTCCCAACACCACGTGCTGCAGCTGTTTAACATGCACAATCATAAAGGGTTATTGTAATGCGCTGCTGAGTTCTTTATATCAGTAATTGTCTTACAGACAGAAACACTGGAGAAACGATCTAGAAATAAGTAAAAAATATCTTAAGTTAAGTGTATTTACCCTTAATTTGAGCAGATAAATTAGATAGTTTGCTAAAGGAATGAGTATTTTCTACTCTTAAAATAAGATAAATAGATAATATGCACTTGAAATAAGACAACGCAATTGTGTTGTCTTATTTCAAGAGTAAATTGTCTTGTTCTATTGGCAAAATGTCTTTTTGTCCTCCTTATTCCAAGATTAAATGCACTTATTTAAAGAAAAAATTATAAAATAGCCTTAATTTGAGTAGGTAAATGAGATGATTTGCCAATGGAATGAATATTTTCACTCCTAAAATTTGATTGTTAGATAATATGTGCTTGAAATAATACAATGCAATTATTTTTTTCTTATTTTAAATGTAAATGTTCTTCCATTAGCAAAGTGTCTCACTTACCTCTTGAATTCAAGAACAAATGCAGTTATTTTATATGAGGAGCCGTTTGTAAAATTAAGCCGTCAAAAATTAGGAGCAATATTTATGGTTATTTAGTGCATTTTAAGAGAAAAATAAGGGTTTATTTTTTTTTACAATTCATTTTTTTAACTATGTCATTCATTAATAAAAATCTTACTTCGTAAAATAAATGTTTAGTTTGGAGCTAAATATTTATTGAACAAACAAAGATTTTTATAAATTAATGAATGAAATAGTTAAAATATTTTTTGACTGCTTAGCTTTACAAACGGCGCCTCAATATTTCAGGACAAAATGACTTATTTAGCTTTACATTTTTTCTAGTACAGCTTCTTATTGGTGCATCATAGGTAGAAGAAAAGACGACAAAAATCCAGAGATGTTTGGAAGCAGTGAGTTAGACCTAAAGCTGCCCTCTTGTTTCTCTCTGCCAGAGGACGACGTCGTGTCCATGGCCGACTCCACCATCACTGCGGACGACATCGAGGGCGAGCTCTTCAAGATCGAGAGGATCAGGGACATCCTGGTGAGGAGGGAGTCGGAGCTCAGATACATGTAGGTGAATCTTTAGAGCTGTCAGGCCACGAAAAAAAAATGGTGTCTAAAATATCTCATGTTCAGCTGTGCAAAAATTCCAGCTATGCTCATTTTTGATTTTTGTTTTTTATTCTTATTTTACCACCTAACCACCTGTCAGGGTCAACAAACTGGAAACTAAAGTCCCTCCATCAAGCTGCTTGGAATGAAAGCAGGAAGTCCACATTGTTTGTGCAGAAATGCACCTATTATTGTTTGTTTCCGCAGCTCTGGCTCAGAATTTTATCTGTAATGAAACTACGAATACAATGATGACAAGCAGCAAAAGCGCTTTATAAGGTGGAAATAATCAATTAAAGCTGCAAAGATTTCTTCCTCCAAAAACTAAAATTAATTGGTGAAAAAATAAAAAACAATAATTTTCATCACGATCACTGAGTCTGGGAGCGGCCATTTTTGCCCAAATATAGTAGCCCCTCCCTCCTGCCATCTTCCAGCAGTGACGTCACGGTGCGGTAAGCCTAGCGCCATTCTCCCCGCTTTACAAGCTAAATCAATGGGAACTACTAGACACATCTGCAATCAACAACAATTATTGAAGATTTCCAGAGGACTTCACCATTGAAATTCACCAGAGCTATAGTGAAACTGACAATGCCCACGTGCACAGGGGCGGATTTAGGAAATTTAGGGCCGTAGGCAAACATAGGCAGAAAGCCCTCTGAATTGAGATGACAACACATAAAACAGACCCATTTCACTGGATTACTGTGCCGATACCATTTGTTTGAAATTGATGTGTGTGTGTGTATATGAAGAATTTCATACTACTTGGATGTAAAATAATTGCCATCATGGCTTTGTCAAGCTGCTGCCTACCTTTGTGAAGCAGGAAAAAGACAAATTCAATTCTATTCAGTGTATTTCTATAGCTCCAATTCCCATCATGTCATCTCAGGTCACTTTCCAGTTCACCAGATCATCCAGTCAGATTGATTCAAAGTTTTCTATCTAAGGAAAACCAGCTGATTGCATCGACTCATTGACTCTTCAGCAATCCCTCACACTAAGCATGCTTGTAGCGACAGTGGAGAGGAAAAAATCCCTTTGAACAGGACTAGTACAAAGTGAATCCAGTAGAACATTTTATTGCCTACCTGGAATGGGTGACAGTAGTTAAAAATGGTATCGGTGCCCTATTTGTTGGTACTCACTGATACCGATACCACCATTATAGTGCTGGATTGGGGCCCCGCCCGATATTGGTATTGGTGTAACGCTAATACAGATACAGAGCATTTTAATAGAATAGACATGCACTTGTTCAAGATTTTGTCCATCTCTACTTGTCCCTTTTCATGTTGTTTCCTTTCTTTGTTTTGTAATCTGACACTCATCTTTCATGTGACGGCCAAAGTAAATAACCCAGTCCTCCTTTTCACTGTAGACAAGCCATGATCTGCTTATCTGTTCTCCATTTTTCATTTGGATGAAATAATAGCTGCATGAATCATGACAGCAGACAAGATAGAGGAGAGCAGGAGGCGGGGTTACCAATCTACTCGCTCTGGAGAGCAGAGTTCGCTGCTTTTAGATGTTGTCTGCAAAGTCTCCGGTAGCAGAAAAAAGTCTCTAGATTTGGCGCTAGGAGCTTTTTAGAAATCAAAGTGCTAGAGGGGTCTGAAAAGTGGCTAAATATAGCGACTAAAGCGCTAAGTTGGCAACACTGCTCTTTGCATGGTTTGTTTTCAAATGGTTTGCTGCTGTCTGTTTGGACCTTTCTGAACATGTGCAGCAAATGGACTGATCCAATATGGTGGACACTGAAGGGGGGGGGCTGAGACACACTTAATATTATCGGCGTTCTGATGGCATTTTAGCCAAAAGGATTTTTATGAAAAACATAATTAATGTGCAGAAATAGGGAATAGTTGTATTAAACATACATGTAAGCAGAGTTTTCAACTGCCTAGTTCTGCTATACACCCCCCCGATGGTACGCAGCATGCGTCTAACCATGGAAGTGACGGTAATTAATTAATAATAATGTGCACAGTGTGTAGCATTAACCTGTGGATTTTGTTTTTGTGCAGGATGGATGATATTCAGCTGTGTAAAGAGATTACTCGTCTGAAGAAGGAGCTTCACAAATTAGTGTCTATACCAGGTAGGAGACGTTTACATGTTTAAGGAAGCAGAAAGTTAATGTCTGTGAATTCAGATCCGAATGTGTTGGTCAGTGTTGGAAGTGATTTAGTGGGAAATGGGCAGAAGGGTTTGATTTGCTTTTAAAATGTTCATAAAGACAGATCATTCAAAACACATCAACCAGACCTTAATCACCCCGCTATAATGGCGCCGCTTCCTTAAACACACCTTTCACATCATGCTGAAGTGCCATCATGCAAACCTCTATTTTTTTTATGAGAAACACAAAGAAAGAAACACAAGGAAATGTTTTCTATATAATACATTTGTTTCGATATTTTTATATTCCTAAAAAAATGATTTTATACATAAAATCTAGAGAAAAAAAAAACAAAATATTTCACATTGAGGTCGTCTAAAGGCTTGCATGTCAATCACTATTCAATTCAATTCAGTTTATTTATATAGCGCCAAATTCACAACACATGTCATCTCAAGGCACTTTACAGTTCAACCAGATCATACAGTCAAATTGATACAAAGTTTTCTATCTAAGGAAAACCAGTTGATTGCATTGACTCATTGACTCAAATACAATCCCCCACACTAAGCATGCTTGTAGCGACAGTGGAGAGGAAAAACTGATGCTGTGGGAGTCCTTTATATGAATAGTAACAGAAAAGCTGGATAGATTCATCGATGTACTGAGAAATATAATAATAATAATAATAATAATAGAACTATCGATCTCACTATCGATTGAAGAAATTCCCTCTCTCTCTACATTTAACCCCTCCCTTTGGAGAGCAGTGGGCTGCCATTGTGTGGAGCCCGGGGAGCAGTGTGGGGTTAATGGTCTTACTCAGGGACCCAGAGTGGAGGCTGTGGGGATTGAACCGGTGCTTGCAACCTTCTCAGAGCACAGAGCGCTGCTCTGACCACTAGGCCGACACTCACCAACGATTCAGAGCTGTTGGGAGCTGGAGAAATACACCTTTTCTCCAGCAGAGTCCGCCCTGGATCCTCCCTGCTGAGCTGCTCTGCACACCTGCAGCTGATGATATCATCTGGAGGACCTGGACTACTTAAGCTGCCTTCAGACCTTGCCTCGACGCCGCAGTGTCTTAATCAGTTGGTTAGCACTTAAGCCGTAGATCCCTAGTGAACCAAGTTTCCTTTGAGTCCAACCTGGATTCTAACCTTTTTGTCTCTGCTTCCAGGTTTCCTGTTTTTTCCTCCTGTAGAGCTCTGGAAAAGCTTAACCTGCCGAGCCTGCCCTCCGAGCCAAACCTGAAGACTCACTCTCTGGATTTCCTAGCAGCTCAGGTTTCCGAGCTGGAAACACAAGCCAAGGTCAAACCAGCCTTTAGAAGTAAGACGCTGAAACAGCTTAAGGACTCTGCCAAACCAAGCTTTTTCCAGACCCAACAGTTCCGCTCCCAAAGCCTCATCTACATTCATCAAGGTACAAATCTGAACACAATCAAGTCAAGTCTCTGCCAAGCCTTCGCTAACCAAACTGTCTCTCTCACAGACGCCAGTGAACCGGTCCCAGCCCAGAACCATTGCATCAGTCTTTATTATATGTGTGAACTTGCAAATAAACTCTGTTAAACTTTCCATCCGTGTCGTCAGTGTTCTGCATATTGGGCCTCCCTGATACCCATCATGACAGAACACTGCGGCCAAACACAAGGCCCAGCAGATCACCTCCTCCGTCGATTAGAGGAGCAAGAAGCTAAAATTAATGGACACGCTCTGGCTCTCCGTGAACTAAACACGCATATTGAGATGCAAAACCAGAGGCTCCAAAGCTACGCAAATTACGTGAGTAATGCTAACACCGCCCCAGCAACCCAACCATTTCCGGGTCCAGTTCCTCCGCCGAGGTCACCGGCTGTGACGTCATCCGAGTTCCGCCCAAGTCTCCCAGAGAAGTTTTCTGGTAACGTAACTGATTGCAAGGGATTTTTATTTCAATGTCGTCTCATTTTCCAGAACTGTCCTGGCAGTTTTCCCACGGACCACAAGAAAATAACGTTTATCCTTTCCCAGTTAACAGGAAGAGCTCTGGCTTGGGCTCAAGCCAGATTTGCCTCAGATGAAAGCTTAAGCTGTCACTATTCAGATTTCGTTTCTGAATTTTCCCAGGTATTCAACCAAGACTCTGACCAAACCCTTGATTCTCGAGCTCTGCTTCATTTAAAACAGGGAAATTCTTCTGTGGCCGAATTTTCTATAAATTTACGGGTTAAAGCAGCTGCTTCCGGATGGAACCAGGGTGCTTTAAAGAGTGCTTATTTCGAAGCATTAAACGAAAATATTAAGGATGAGTTGGCTACCCGCGATGAACCGGCTACACTCGAAGAACTAATCCAATTAACTATAAAACTGGACAACCGGATTCGGGCCAGAAACAGCCGCAAACATAAGAGTTTGGCGTTATTTTCCTCTGCCCCCGCCTCTAATAACGTGACTGTTGTTTCTGCCCCCACAGAACAGTTATCCAGACCAAAGCCAAAGAGCCAGCCTCTCCCTTTGCCTGTTCAGGCTACTCATCCTGGAGAAACTGAAATGGAGCCGATGCAGGTTGGACACACAAGGTTGTCTCCTGAGGAAAGGCAAAGGAGATTTTTGGGAAGACTTTGCATTTATTGTGGTGAGAGTGGACACTTCATTGCTTCCTGTCCAGAAAAATCAAAAGCCGGGGCCCGTCAGAGGTTTTGAGGAGTCTGACGGGCCATGAAGAAAATGAAAAACCTCCTCGTCTTTTGCTACCTGCCACGTTGTTTTTCCTCGACCAGAGCCTCTCTCTTTCAGCCTTCATTGATTCTGGATGTGAACGTAATTTAATAGACTCCGATCTCGTCCAACAGCTCCAAATTGCTACGGTTCCTTTAACCCAGCCTCTCAGAGTCTCTGCGATTGATGGGAAAAAACTTCATCAAGTCACCCACCAAACTCAACCCCTTGAACTTCTAATCTCAGGTAACCATCGAGAGTCCATAACCTTCTTTGTTTTTTCATCCGCATGTTCCCCGCTGGTACTGGGTTATGAATGGCTGGAGAAGCATAATCCCCATATTAATTGGGCCGATCGTCATGTGGAGTTCTGGTCCACATTGTGTCACGAGACCTGCCTCCGTTCTGCAGCTCCCACTGTGGGGTCCCCTAGAGGTGGGGGGGAGATGGACGTCCCTGACCTTACTCCGGTACCCCCTGATTACCATGATTTGGCTCCTGTTTTCAGTAAGGTCAGTGCTTCGTCCCTTCCACCACACAGACCATACGACTGTGCCATCGAGTCATTACCCGGTGCTCCGTTACCCAGCAGTAGACTTTATAACATTTCCAAACCAGAACGTGAAACAATGGAAAAATACATTAACGAGTTGCTAGCTGCAGGAATAATTCGCCCTTCTTCATCCCTGTTGGGCGCAGGATTTTTCTTTGTTGGAAAAAAGGATGGTTCTTTGAGACCCTGTATAGATTATAGAGGCCTGAACCAAATCACTATCAAAAACAAATATCCTCTTCCTCTTCTCGCCTCAGTCTTTGAGCCTGTACAAGGAGCCACCGTTTTCACTAAGCTCGATTTAAGAAATGCCTATCATCTCCTTAGGATACGTGAAGGAGATGAATGGAAAACGGCATTTAAGACTCCTTTGGGCCAGTTCGAGTATTTGGTCATGCCTTTCGGCTTAACAAATGCCCCCGCATGTTTCCAGGCCCTAGTGAACGACGTCCTCAGAGACTTTCTCAATGTGTTTGTATTCGTATACATTGATGATATCCTGATCTACTCCAAGAATCTATCTGAACATAAGAGACATGTCCGCCTGGTTCTTCAGAGACTTCTAGAGAATAAACTTTTTGTAAAGGCTGAAAAATGTGAGTTTCACCAATCTTCAGTTACCTTTTTAGGGTTTGAGCTCGAGGGCGGGCAGGTTAAGCCTTCTGAAGAGAAGATAAAAGCTGTTTTAGAATGGCCCGTTCCAGAAAGCCGTAAGCAGCTACAAAGATTTTTGGGCTTCGCTAATTTCTACCGGAGGTTCATCAGAAATTACAGCCAAACCGCCCTCCCATTAACTGCATTAACTTCTTCCAAGAGAGTTTTTCGATGGTCCCACGAGGCCCAAGCAGCTTTTGACAAACTCAAAACCTTGTTTTCCAGAGCTCCAGTCCTAATCCAACCTGATCCATCTAAGCAATTTATCCTAGAGGTTGATGCTTCTGACTCCGGTGTAGGGGCAGTTTTGTCTCAGAAACTCGACTCTGATCAACGAATCCATCCCTGTGCCTTCTTTTCCCGTAAACTCACTCCCGCAGAACACAACTACGACGTTGGGGACTGAGAACTTTTGGCCATTAAGTTGGCTTTGGAAGAGTGGAGACACTGGCTCGAAGGAGCAGAGCATCCAGTCCTGGTGTGGACTGACCACAAGAATCTCGCCTACATCCAGTCCACTAAACAAGCTACTCCTCGACAGTCAAGGTGGTCTCTCTTCTTTTCACGTTTTAATCTCATTATCTCCTACAGACCTGGATCTAAGAACACCAAGCCCGATTCTCTCTCTCGTCTCTACGCTGTGGATCAACCTGAGTCACCCCAACCTGTCCTCCCTGCCTCATGTACCGTTGGAATGGTCACTTGGGAGATAACAGATTTAATCAACGCTGCCCTGGCCACAGAACCTGATCCAGGTAATGGACCACCTAACCGTACCTATGTTCCCTCGTCTGTTAGGTCTCGTCTCATTCATTGGATGCACTCGGCAAGATTCTCTGCTCATCCGGGAGTGAGCCGAACAGTTTCACTGATCTCAAGACGGTTTTGGTGGCCCACTTTGCATCGAGATGTAAAGGAATATGTGTCAGCCTGCTCCACCTGTGCACGGAACAAAGCCTCTCATCAGCCACCCTCCGGCTTGCTGCAACCGCTCCCTGTGCCCTCATGTCCTTGGTCCCATATTGCCATCGATTTCGTCACTGGTCTCCCAGAGTCTCGAGGTATGTCAACTATTTTAACCATCGTAGATCGTTTCTCCAAATCTTGTCATCTGATCCCTCTCAGAAAGCTTCCTACGGCCTATCAAACCGCCCAGTTGCTGATCAAGCACGTCTTTCGCTTCCATGGTATTCCCCAGGACATCCTCTCAGATCGTGGTCCCCAATTTGTCTCACAGGTTTGGAAGGCTTTCTGTTCTGCTCTAAATTGTAAAGTGTCACGAACTTCTGGCTATCATCCCCAGTCAAATGGTCAAACTGAGAGGATGAACCAACACCTCGAATCCACCCTCCGCTGTCTCACCTCCAATAATCTCACCGATTGGAGTCAATATCTCACCTGGATAGAATACGCCCATAACTCACTCAAGTCTGCATCTACCGGTCAGTCTCCCTTCCAAGTTAGCCTCGGCTACCAACCACCTCTCTTCCCTGCAGACGAGAGAGAGATATCGGTGAAGACTGTCAATCACCACATCCGTCGTTGCCAGCGTGTTTGGAGAGAGACCATCCAAGCACTCAACCGTTCCTCTGAGTCCTCTAAGAGGTTCACAGACCCCAAGAGACGTCCAGCCCCCGAGTACAAGGTCGGCCAGGAGGTCTGGCTGTCCATCCCCTTGAGGGGGATGTCCCGCAAATTATCCCCGAGATTCATCGGCCCATACAAGATCACTCGAGTCATCAACCCCTCCGCCGTCCGTCTTAAACTTCCCCCGACACTCAGGATTCACCCTACGTTCCACGTCTCCCAGGTAAAACCAGTCATCTCTAGTCCCATTTGCCCTCCATCCGACTCCCCTCCACCCGCCCTGGAAGTCGATGGACATCCGGCCTTCACCGTTCGCCGGATCGTGGACTCCCGTCGGCGAGGTCGCGGTTGGCAGTACCTCGTCGACTGGGAGGGCTACGGTCCGGAGGACCGACAATGGGTTCCTGGTTCATACATCCTCGACCCTTCTCTCATCGAGGAGTATGAGCGTTCCCTCCCGTCTACCTCTTCCGCACCGCCAAGGGGCGGTCGTTGAGGGGGGGGTACTGTTGGGAGCTGGAGAAATACACCTTTTCTCCAGCAGAGTCCGCCCTGGATCCTCCCTGCTGAGCTGCTCTGCACACCTGCAGCTGATGATATCATCTGGAGGACCTGGACTACTTAAGCTGCCTTCAGACCTTGCCTCGACGCCGCAGTGTCTTAATCAGTTGGTTAGCACTTAAGCCGTAGATCCCTAGTGAACCAAGTTTCCTTTGAGTCCAACCTGGATTCTAACCTTTTTGTCTCTGCTTCCAGGTTTCCTGTTTTTTCCTCCTGTGAAGCTCTGGAAAAGCTTAACCTGCCGAGCCTGCCCTCCGAGCCAAGCCTGAAGACTCACTCTCTGGATTTCCTAGCAGCTCAGGTTTCCGAGCTGGAAACACAAGCCAAGGTCAAACCAGCCTTTAGAAGTAAGACGCTGAAACAGCTTAAGGACTCTGCCAAACCAAGCTTTTTCCAGACCCAACAGTTCCGCTCCCAAAGCCTCATCTACATTCATCAAGGTACAAATCTGAACACAATCAAGTCAAGTCTCTGCCAAGCCTTCGCTAACCAAACTGTCTCTCTCACAGACGCCAGTGAACCGGTCCCAGCCCAGAACCATTGCATCAGTCTTTATTATATGTTAGAACTTGCAAATAAACTCTGTTAAACTTTCCATCCGTGTCGTCAGTGTTCTGCATATTGGGCCTCCCTGATACCCATCATGACAAGAGCAAAAGAAGCTCTGTCTGAATTAGTATCAGGGGCGGGTTTAGGAAATGTGGGGCCCTAGGCAAAGACAGGCAGGGGGCCCTCTGAACTGAGAAGACAAAACATAAAACAGCCCCATTCTACAGATAGAGAAATGTTAATAGAATAGACATCCATTATCTGTTCTAGGTTTCATCCCTCTCTTCTTGTTGTTTTCCACTCTTTTCCTGTCATGGCTTTACCGGATGCAGAGCTGAGATGTTTCCTCTGTTTTCCAGCCACATCGCTGATCGCAATGTGTGAAAATGGTTAAGTTTGGTAGAGGGAGGATTGTGGTGATTTTCATGTTCCTGGCCGAGTTTAGGGATGAATACTTCCTTTTCCAACATGACTTCCTGCTATGAGATGAAGCAGGGTCTGTAAGGCGACATGCAGTAATGCTACGTTTAGACGGAACGCAGCAGGAGCAGCAAAAATGTGCGTGCTGCTTCATTTTTTATGCTTGTACAAGGTTATTTCTAACACGCGGCTGAAGCGTCTTTGAAGTGGGTCTGATGCGCGGTGGGCGGAGCTACACTCTCCTTTCTCTGCCTGGAACAATGGCGGCTATATTAGCTGTGATCAGCGGGTAAAAAGTAGTTAGAATCTATGTTGAAGTGAGAAAGTCCTCCTGAAAACATGGTCTGTGCAGTCAGTTCATCCAGATTACCATCCTGCCTTCAAAGATTATTTCTCTGTGGGAGCCGCTCAGACCCCCACATACCGGCGCTGCGCTGTCACTGGGAATCCCCAGCAGCAGCTGCCTCAGGCCCGCTCGCCTCTTGGGGGTTTTCCCCTCCTGTTGGTGGCGGCTGGAAGTAGATGTTATGCTGCGTTCATACCGGACGCAGCTGGCGTGACAGAAGCAGCGAGTTTCCATGCAAAGTCAATGGTTGACGCTCGTCAAGGCGCAGCAAAAGGTCCCGCAGCGCGTTTAAGCATCTGACGCGCCACAAACGCACCGGTTCTCGAGTTGAAAAAAT